AATCCCTCCCCTAACCCCTTTTGTCCCCCCCAACCCCTTCCCTCCCCTCTGGAGGGGATAGGGGGAGGGAGGGGGTTCTTATACCTACCCGGAGTCCATCCCAGATGTTGTTATCCTTTCTGGAATCACAGCTCTCATCACTGACCATCCCAGGGTGCCCACCCTGTTGCCTGCAAAGAAGACCCACCACCACCACCATCTCTTCATGCATCTGCTGTTGGCCACCACCAGGCCAATCTGCTTCCTCCGGTCCTGATGGTTGCGTGGTCTCCTCCATCATTATCTCCTCCATCGTTGTCTCCACCACAAAGATGTGGTTCTCTGCTGCAGCTTGAGGGCTGCTCGCAGGTGATACCTGCAATGTCCTGCCTATCCAGATAGGCCTCCTAACTCCCTATACAACAAATCACCAGTGCCTACATCTCCGCCAGGGGATTCATAGTGACTTTTGCTAGGATGTCACCTTTTGTCTCCCTTGGTCTTCACTGGATGTCCTCGTACTTCCTGATGTTCTGATCTGGTACCTCCTTCTCTGGTTGTCCATCCATTTCTGTCCATGTGGACCAAGCTGCCTGGGGAAAAAACCCTCTACTCTCTCTATATCTACCTACCAAGCTTCCTCACCACAGTCTGTGGCCTGGTGGGATGCCTAGCCCTACACCATGGCCATGCTCCATCCTTAGATCTATCCCTCATCATCTCCTGCCTCTCCACAGGAATGCAGAGCATGAACAGACCTGTGCCTGCTCTCTCCTCCAGGCCTTCGCTTCTCTGGCTCTTCCCAGCTGGCAGCCACATGCACCCACCTACCCAAATCCTTCCCAAATAACAGCCTTCATCCTATGAGATGCAAACAACCTCCTCTCCACGAGGCTAACTAACTCCCACATTGTCCCTTCCCATTCCATGCCAATGGCGAACAGCATGCAAGTGTGACACTTCACCAACTAACTCCACTGTCCAGGACCAAAACCCCTCCAAATACAGCCTGTGAATCCCTTAACATCCCCCAGGCACAGGGGGTCCATCCTACCCACCTGGAGACTCCTGTACTGCATGGCCAGAATGGCAAAGAGCACTCAACAAGAGACAAGAACACACCTTCCTCACCCCTGTGCTCCTGCTAGAGACTTGCCTGCACAACCACACTCCAAATGAACTGTGTCCTCTGCCACCTTCTCATGCCTATAGGGCCTCCCCAGGCGCCTTCCTCCTCCTCCTCCGACAAAGACAGCGCCTCCTCTAAATGTCCCTCAAGCTCTTTGCCTACCTCCTCCCCACCACCAAGCCCAACACCACCACCAGAAGCAATGCTCTCCAAGTGATGGATAAACCAACATCCCAGGGAGACCCAGCGTGGGGTGTGAGCTATGAAGGAACAGTGGGGAGGTGGGACACTCGTGGTCACTCAGCACTTCCCCTAACGCTCTCCTTTGTCTTCTTCTCTCCCCTGTGCAGGCCCTGGAGCGGTGCATGACGGCGGCAATGCGGCGTCCCGGGCGGGCGCCGGGCTCTGCCTTTGGGCCACCCTCCTTGCTCGTCTCCTCCTCGACTTTTGATAAGGGAGCGGAGGGTCCCGGGAGGCCCCCGCTGCCCCCAACGGCACCCGGGGACTCGTCTCCATGGGGCGGGCGAT